TTTAACAACAAAAAAAGACTTAGATGACTCTAGTAAGGATAGTCTACTTGAGGAGATGACAATACACCAGACATCCCTAGTCATATCTTCTTCTGTTCAAAGTTTTCTCATTTTTTTCTTCCTGCCGAGTTTTCTAGTTTTTCTTTAGAATTGAGGTTTTTAGGCCTTCTAGCTAAAGCTGCTGCTTGAATTAGCTGTATCTCCTTTCAAAGTATGTGATTACTTCCTCCTGTTCCTAGTGATTAGCTTCCCTCAGCATTTCTGATCTCATCAGAAAATGAAAATACACCTGCCAGAAAGTATTATCTATTTTCCTGAGTTCTTTTGTTCATTTGACTGTTTTAAGTAAGAAAGACTTTATGTTACTTGAAGTAAAAGCTAGCTATACTTCTCACACAAGACAAAACCACTTTCCTGAGCTGATCTGTGTAAACAACCCTATTTATAGGTCTAAGTTGCTCTCTTACACATAGCAAGATGTAAATAGACATGCAGCCAAAAGGAACATACAATGTACTGCAAGTTTTCATATCTTATTTATTGAAACAAATTTACTTTCTGAAATATATTTGAGTAACTCTGTTTCAAGTTCTTTAATTATGCTATATGCATGCCTGTTCCCTCAATACATAGTATTTAATTCTTGAGTCTTATCTAATGTTAAATTGGAAGTGGATATTTGCTGTCCCCATTCATAACAATGAAAAATTCTAGTTGAACTGGTCAGGATTCCTGTTAATGTCCACATCAATAATACTCTGACTTCATAGGATTTTTTATTTTGCACAGGACTTGGACAGAGGGTATTCATCTGATCATCATGAAATTATTTTCAGGCTCAGGCTTTGCTCTAAGCTTGGCCAGAGAAATTTGCACCAATAAGACCCCTTCAGTAATGGAATGGTCCTACCACAACCAGCTCTGCTCTTTGCATGGTATATTTGCCGTCATTGTAGATTTGTAAACTGTGCACATTGACTCTTTATTTGAATAATAAATTTCAAGTGTTACTGATAACATCACAGAAGTTATTAGGAAAAAAAAGTAGACTTCCTAATTCTCCTTATTCCCCTCAGTTTTCTAGTAGACACATTAAGCCCTTTGGTGAATTAAATAATAATTTTCTTTCTTCCATTTATTCATTTCACAAGTATTTATGAAAGCTCTGCTCCAAAGCAAGCACTCTAAAGTCACTAGAGAGAAATCACACCCTGAGCCCTGTGGTCCATTGTGGTGATGGTGGGGAAGACAAAATAGTCATGATTCAAATGGTTTTAAAAGAAAATCAGAATTTTTGTATTTACAGTGATTTTAAGTGTGTGAAATTTTATATAATTAGTGCTTCCAAGCCATTAAATTATACTTCCCCTACTGACACCACATTTCAAAGGAGCTTATCTACCCAACATTGTCACTTGTAATTATTTTCTCATTAGTATTTACCAACAAAACAAATAACTGCCATTCAAACTACATAGAGTTGATGTATTGAGAGCCCAAAATAGAAAAATAAAAATAATTAATCTTGTTTTCCTTAGGCTGTGTATCATGATTATAGACAGATACACAATTTTGATTTTTTTTCAAAACACTAAAACTCTCTGTTACTGACTCAATGACCTTCATTGATCTAACCTAATTTCCTCATTACTTATTAATATTATATTAATATAAATCTTGTCTGTTGACCTGCCAATCTGTAGTTGAATATAGCTAGTCAACCTCCTTTCTGAGCCTCTATTTGATTGGTTCATGATCAGACCTTGTCCTTGAAGGGTGGGAATAGAATTGGAAAGAGAAGCACATTTATGACCTTCCTAAAGACTCAAGGCACTTTTCTACTTAACCCAAGTGGTTGCTTAACAGGAATGGAGTGTTGGTCATATTTGATGACCCTTTTTGTTAATTTATGTCCTAATGGTTCTTAGGGCGATAGTTACTGAGGAGGAGCAGGGTGGCTGCACTTGAACTGGTGGTCAGGTGGAAGCAGCCCCAGAATTGTCCTCCCTGAACTTTGTCTCATCTGCCATATCCTCCACATACTAATCTATTCTTTAATCTTACTCCCCTAAACTAAGCAAATTATGAATTGTGCTGGTTTAAAACTACCTGGCACCAGATGAAGGATACTTGAGTACTGAACAGAGGTAGAGGGCCTGGCATAATATCTTTGGTAAAAATTTCACTTTCTTCAGGGAAAGAAAATACTGTAGAATGTGCATGATGAAATGACCTGGGCTATGGTGAAATGGTGAGTTGAGAATATGAGGTACATGAACTTGAACAAAAGACCTCCATAATTTTGTTTCCCATGGCTCAAACTTTTCTTTATTTCTTAAAAATGTTTCTTGCTACTTAGCATGCAGTAGTTGTACACATTAATGAAGCATGCTGGCAGAGTGGCTCAAGTGGTAGAGCACTTGCCTAGCAAGCATGAGGCCCTTAGTTCAAACTCCAGTGCTACAAAAAAAAAAAAAAAAGAATGGAGCACAGTATGATATTTTAATACAAATTTATGATGTGTACTGATCAAATCAGGGTAATTAGCATTTCCATTTCCTTACCATTTCTTTATGTTTGGAGTCTTTGAGTTCTTCTATTGCAGATCTTCATAAAATTTTTAATAGTTTATTGTGCTATAGTCAACCCACTGCACTGTAGAATTCTTGAACTTAGCTCTCCTGTCAACTGTGTGCAGTATCCATTCTCCAACCTCTCTTATCGTCCTCCTCCACCTGTTCGAAAAGATCAAATTTGACATTTTTCCTGTATCATGAGGGTTCCTCTGTCTCTTTTTAATTATATTACATAATATTATGGAACTAAAATAAGATATATAGAATTGTTCATTGGAGCTAGCAGTTTTAATGAGGCTATTGATGACTACATTTTTTCTGTGTTCTTTTCTGGATTGTAATTACATTTTTTAGTGAATTTACATTATTGTGCAATCAGGAAAATTTGAAAAGAAAAAAATGATAAATAATAAAATCATTATTACATTGTAAAATCTCATGTATAAAAATCCTAGATATGTCCTTGCTGTAGCAAAGTAGGTTTTATTTTTATTTATTTAGAGTGGCCAATCTGGCCAAGTAACTGTAAAACAATGAACAGTTGCATTTGTGTAGTTCTTTACATAGATTTTTCTATATAATAATATCCATTGAACTTAGTAATAGCAACAGGAGAAATCATAATATTCCAAATTAATAAAATTGTGGATTAGTATTTTGATTGCTAAGAGTGATATGATTATCAAATACCATGAATAAGGTTATTACTGAATTCTAGCACACTTTTCCTTTTTTACATGCTTGAGTTCTTTGAATCCCCATGTACATAAAGGTCCCATGAAAACTATAAAAAAAAGCCATTTCCTGCCATCAGTTTATAATGCAGTTAGAGTAAAAGGACACATACTAACAGAGTGAATTAGCAATTCAGTTAACAGCATAGATAAAAAGAGCAGTGCCTAATACAACACCTGGCACACACAAAGTATTCAAAAATGATGGATGGACTAGATAGGTGATAGATAGATAGATAGATAGATAGATAGATAGATAGATAGATGATAGATAGATAGATAGGTAGAGACATAGAGACATAGATAGATGGATGAATGGAGAGATGGATGGAAAGGCAGAAGCAGTTGGGTTGACATGTTAGTTATAGGAGTACAGAAGAGAAAGTTTTACTTGTCACCGATGGTTGAATTTCAGCAAATCTGTTGACTTCTTTATTAGTCAGGGAATACCTCATGAAGGAGAAGATACCTCGATAGTCCTTTAGAAACTTGAAAGAGTAGGGTTTGACTCTGCAGAGAAAAGGAATGAGGGAATTTCAGGCTAGGGGTTCATGCATGAGCAGAAGCAGTGAGGCAGAAAGATAAAGCTCTAACTTGGACTTTAACAGAGGGGCCTTACTAAGCAAAAGTTTGTGAGAAGGTTGTTTTCACAGTAGTATAGGACAACATTGTAGAATGTCATGAATGTCAAGTTCTGATATATTTAAATAATCCATAAGCAGAGGCAGCTATTAGAATTTTTGCATAAAGTAATTAATGCCATAGTGAAAAATGTGTTAGCATAATCTGATAGGAGTGTGACTTCATGTTGAATGTAAAGATAGGAGACAGTTCAATACAAAGTGGAGATTTTAAATTGTCCACTGGGATTTTATTTTTAGAAAGAACTGCACAAGTAGATTTCGCTGTATCATCATTAAAATACCCATACTTAATTGACATTTCTAAGACATTTATGCCAAATTCAGCTTTAGCTCAATAGGTATTCTATTGAGAGTTAGGGATTTGAAGATGAGGAGCTGGCCTAAAAGTCTAAAGGCCTCCCAATGTTTTATGCATATAGTCTAGTAAATTTTTATGTGCTCGAAGAAAGATAATAATTTGTCTTCTGGGGATATTTAACCTAATTACTAGGTATGTCAGAAAACTGTTATTTCTTCCATGTGAGTTGTACTTGCACTATAAGAAACTATATATATTATCCCTTTTCTTTAAAGCTATTAGTTATTTTATCTTACAAAATCAATGATGCCATCACACTTAAATGCAAGTGGTTAACAGTAGGGTAAAATCCAGAGCAACCACTGACTTGCTGGGCAATCCTGGCCAAGCTTCTCTCTATTCCTCAATCTTCTCATCCATGAATGATGACTATAATCACACTAACATCTCAAGATTGTTGAGAAAATTCCATGTAAAAATGTAGACCAGTGCCCAGCATGTAGTAACAATTCATTAATGATATTCATGTTTCTAGTAACAATACATAAGCAGTGAATAATATATTCATCTTATTTCTTTGTTGTTGTGATTGTTGGTTTGGTTTGGTTTTTCAAATCTCTGCCGGAAGGATAACTCATATCCACTGGGAAGTGTCTGGGGTTTCTGCTCAATGACATTGAAACTCATCACGTATAGTATAGGATATTCCTAACCACAGTGAAGCTGACAAGCCTCTTGCCTTCCACAGTGAGCCATCTCTATGGATTTGGACTGATGGATGCAGAAGCCATGGTGATGGAGGCAGAGAAGTGGACCACTGTCCCCCAGCAGCACGTGTGTGTGGAGAGCACAGATCGACAAATCAAGTAATACTTGCTGTCAGCAGACAGCAGACAATGCCCTGAAAATAAGCCAATGCAAGAGCTCGCCACACCCCCTTGTTGCACATGGGAGCTGGTAGCTTCTGTAGTTGCTGTAATTTTAAAATCGTGATAGAATGGCTAAGATGCTAAATCCAAGCTAGTATAATCCAAGCATCCTTACAAGGACAGGTTCTCTTCAAAGGGGATGTGGGGAGCCCCTTCCCAATAGGCTTCCTGACATTTTCTATCTGACATTTCCTGACAGATACTATGTCAGTATCTCTATTTGATGGAGCAAGTTTTCTCCAAAAATTGGTGTACTTCAAAAAATTGAACTTTATGTTCTGGGAACTTTTTAAATACATGCCAAAGGGTGATGTGAAATGTACAGTACATGAGATTACAATTCACTTAGAGATGGGACGGCCTTTTCCTCTGGCCAGCCTTTACCTCACAGTTGTGTGAAGTCACGCCTAGGAGTGAAATCCAAGAACAATCTTTTGTCTCAGTGGCCTCATTAATGTGCTCTTCTTGGCATTCTTCTCAGAGATTTCTTTTTCTGGAAAGTATATATGAACTAGATCTATGGTTTGTGATGAATGTAAAGCCATTATAAACCATTATAATTCTTGAGGAAACTTGTTAGGAAACAGAAAAAAATGAACTGGTTACTTTTTTCCCCTTTTTGTGCTATAGAATGGGGAAAAAAAAGAATGGGAAGTTAATCAGTATTTATTAAGCACTTACTCTGATCCAAGTCAAGTGCTAGGAACTCCATGTGGGATTTCTTCTTAAAACTTTCTAACAAGATTATTTATTCATTCACAGACTCAAATGTGAACTCCACAACTCTTTTTCTTGCTAGATAGCAAACACTGAGCTAGATGTCCAGGGAAAAGAGATGGTGAGAAAAGCTTTGTGCACTTGTGGAGTCAAACAAGAAAAAAGTAACAAATAATTACAAATTATAAATGAATGCTGAAAATTTTTTAAGTAAGAAATTTTGAGGGGGGAGAAATGACCCAAGCCTTGTATGCATATATGAATAATAAAACAATTAAAAAAAAGAATGTGGTCAGAAACCAAGAGCAAAAATCCTGAAAAAAAAAAAAAAGAAATTTTGATATAGGTTGCAAGTTTTCCCTATGGTTCAATGAAGTTCTCAGAGAGGTAAAATTGGTCTTGAAGGAAAAAAGAGTCATCCATGAGCAAAACAAGCACTTTGGGCAGAGCAGTATGTGCATCACCCTCAAGGTAGAAAACGTGGAGCTGATGCCAGTGTGGCTGGAGCCCAAAGGGGACTGTGGCACAGGAGGAAGCTTGAGAGGAAAACAGGAATCTGGGCTTTGTATGCCCTAGCTTACAGAGCAAGGAGTTGGTATACCATGGTATACATGGAGTGGTGCCCACTCCACTAAAGCACAATACAGTACTTCTTAAAGTATAATCAGTCAGCAATGTAACTGTCACCTGGCAGCATAGCAGAAATGAAATTTCTTGGGATCCACCCCAGACCCATGCAATCAGCCAGTCAGCCATGTATGTTTTCACAAGGTGATTCTAATTCATACCCACTACCTGCATGAAGACAGAAAAAATGCTTCTCTTCTCATTTGCATCTTTCCCTCTATTTAACTATTGATCCTTTAAGCCACTAATCCTTTGGGTGTTAGTACTGTTGCTTAGTATACAGTGACCCCGCTGCTTCCTTTACTTTGTATACTCTTTCTAAGCCTCCAGGTTCACTCACCTGAGCTTTGCCACACAGTGTGTTCAAACTCCTTCTCTCTCTTCCAGGACAATTCGCCCCAACAGTGCAGTGCGCTCCATCTACAAAGCCTCAGGCTGCTCTGACAACCCCAACCACCATGTCAACTACCTAGAGCATGTTGTAGTGCGCGTCACCATCACCCACCCTCGCAGGGGAGACCTGGCCATCTACCTGACGTCACCCTCAGGAACCAGATCCCAGCTTTTGGCCAACAGGTACAGTGATGGCCTCTGTGTCACAGCAATACTGAGCTGTCTTTTAGGGTAGGAAGGGACAGCTACTCCTTACTCCTACCTTGGGTACCAGTGAGGAGAATAAGTAATATGCTGATTGAAGTGCTCCTAAGTAGAGAGTGTGAAGCAGCCTAGCACCCACAGGCATGCAAGAGTGTGGAATTTAATAGTTGGAAAATGAAAGAACGCTGCAGAAAAACCGAAGGTCACTTGTTCTTTATCCTTAAAAAAAGTCACAGAGCTCTGAGATGTGCCCTAGGAAATCAACTCCTGATATTTGTTACAGGTTAACTGAATTCCCTCACTAGGCTCCTACTTTCCAAGTTAAAGGACATTCTGTTTTTAAAGCAAATATTGGCAATGTTTTTCAGCAAAGAGCCATATCACAAGTATTTTGAGTTTTGCGGGCCACATTTCTCTCCCAGCTACTCAACACTGCTGTAAGAGTGCAGAAGTCACTGTGGACAACAGAAATGAATGGACATGACCATAACAAGGAAACTTGACTCTCAAACAGCAACAGGCCAGGTTTGGCCTGGGGACTGTGGTTTATGGACCTCTGTTCTTAGGGTTGACTTTTCAGTCCTTATTTGCCCTACGGGGGCCCCAGCTTCTCTCCTTAGCCTCTTTCCTGCTCCCTGTTCTGTTCCTTCCCACCCAAACATTTTACTCACAGGTAAGTAACAATTGTGTACAAGCTGGAATCCTTGCTGAAGAAATAAAGCCAGAATGTTCTAACACAACTTTTCTTTTGCTCCATTGGCTTTTTGAGTAGTTGGGAGCATGGAATGGGAGTTGTCAGTAGGTAACCGGACAGGGGAACTGTCAGGTTGTCTTGTAGACCTCATTCCTACTGTAACTCCAAAATATATCAGAGTTTAAGGCTAAAAGCTTCTATAATTTTCTTTTCCTCTCCCAAAAGAACATTTAATAAGAACAAAAACCTTAATAGTGATGGCATACACAGTCCAAATAAAAGTCAACTTTTTATGTAAACTCCTCTCCACACATCAAGTGACATGGCACTGATGATCATTTTTAGAACAGGAGTAGGCCAAAGGAGCTGAAAAGCCAGAATCAACGCAAGCTTGCAGAACCAAAAATGAGGCTAAACTTCCTGGTTCCCAGTTGCTTTAGAATAGCCATCATCAGCAACACCACCAACAACAGGTGTTGGCGAGGATGCGGGGAAAAAGGAACCCTCTTACACTGTTGGTGGGAATGTAGACTGGTACAACCACTCTGGAAAAAAATTTGGAGGCTACTTAAAAAGCTGGACATCGATCTACCATTTGATCCAGCAATACCACTCTTGGGGATATACCCAAAAGACTGTTACTCCAGAGGCACCTGCACATCCATGTTTATTGCGGCACTATTCACAATAGCCAAGTTATGGAAACAGCCAAGATGCCCCAGCACTGACGAATGGATTAAGAAAATGTGGTATCTATACACAATGGAATTTTATGCAGCCATGAAGAAGAACGAAATGTTATCATTCGCTGGTAAATGGATGGAATTGGAGAACATCATTCTGAGTGAGGTTAGCCTGGCTCAAAAGACCAAAAATCGTATGTTCTCCCTCATATGTGGACATTAGATCAAGGGCAAACACAACAAGGGGATTGGACTATGAGCACATGATAAAAGCGAGAGCACACAAGGGAGGGGTGAGGATAGGTAAGACACCTAAAAAACTAGCTAGCATTTGTTGCCCTTAATGCAGAGAAACTAAAGCAGATACCTTAAAGCAACTGAGGCCAATAGGAAAAGGAGACCAGGAACTAGAGAAAAGGTTAGATCAAAAAGAATTAACCTAGAAGGTAACACACATGCACAGGAAATCAATGTGAGTCAATGCCCTGTATAGCTATCCTTATCTCAACCAGCAAAACCCCTTGTTCCTTCCTATTATTGCTTATACTCTCTCTACAACAAAATTAGAGATAAGGGCAAAATAGTTTCTGCTGGGTATTGGGGGAGGGGAGGGGTGGAGTGGGTGGTAAGGGAGGGGGTGGGGGCAGGGGGGAGAAATAAACCAAGCCTTGTATGCACATATGAATAATAAAAGAAAAATGAAAAAAATAAATAAATAAATAAATAAAAATGCCCAAATTTCATCCGCTGTAATACAATGAAGTAAAAGAACAACAGCATTTGTAGTGGAAAGTGACTCGGACCACAGAGTCTAAAATCTTCAAATGCATTTCATTTTTGTGCTTGGACTTGCTGTGTTGGGCCTAATGATTTAAATATGAAGTAAGCTTTGCCAGAATAAGTACGCAGGTGCAAGATTGTAAGCATTCCTCAGCATCAGACCCCTGGGTACTTCATCTGTGCCCTCTTCCTGCCATAAACAAAGAGGTCTCAGCTGCTGCCTGCCAGGTAATTGCCACTACCTGCCTGGTACTTCTTTCCAGCAAGCAATTATGTGACCAATGGAGGTCTCTCTAGCTGTTGTTACTGAAGACCCTTATTTCTTATTATTTGGGATTTTTCTTATTTTTATCATTATTCATCTTGGTTTAACTTGAAAGAGTATCCTGGTGAAACACTATAAAATATGAAGGTTTGCTTCACCTACATGGGGCTCTTAGGATCTGAACCTCTCTCTTGTGGAAAATCTGTACCTTCTGCTCTTGCTGTTTGCTTGGAAAAGCAGTCTTTTCTGGAAAATCAGTCTGGGCTCTTCCTGTGCATTTTGCTATTTATTGTTTTGGCTTTCCCCAAAATGACTGATATCAGTGGGGAAACTTTTAAGGAGAGGAGATTCCATCATGGTGTTTTGTGGATTGCAGGTCACTGATTTCAGGCTCACATGCATTTCCCCACAACTGGCATCCACTTGCTCTTTGCAAAGTGCTGACTGCAAGAGTGCTGTAACTTGAGTCAGAGATGAGAAAAAGGCACTTCAGACACCCATTGTTCAGTGCTCACAAGGTTTACCTCAATCTCGCCCATGAAGATTTGCACCCAGAGTGCCTAGGTCTGCACAATCTTCTTATAGCTACTCTTTGTATGTCCTCCATTGGATTCCTAAAAGTACATAGCCATCAAAAAGAGGTAGTGAGACTAGAGAGGGCTAGGGGCCCCAAGAGATAGAAAGGATTTTATGAATTCATCTGTCTACAGCTTCCCGAAAACATTGCTCTGAGCAGCTTACCCTTATAAATGTGTAACACCAGCACCTGGTTCCGGAACCACCCATTATCACCTGATAGGGCTGGGCTCTTCTGTTCTGTTCTGACAATAGGTAGCGCCCCTCCTATCCAGGCAGCTGAAGAGAGACCGTTTCTTTTGGCATTCTTTCCTTCTGGCATATTCTGAGTCTTCCATATTTTTATAGAGGAAAGTTCTGCTCAAAACCTTTGGCCCAGTGGCAAGAAGACCTGAAATCTGTCACCTTGGCCCTGATTCAAAGCACAGTCGTAGGAAGGGAAACTAGAGCAAAGAGTACAGCAGGGAATGGAGAATGGATGAAGGAAAAACCTACTCTGCTTCTGGTGTCCCTCGTGTTGTATGCAAGGCAATTCTTTTCCCCAAGGAAAAGGTGAATAGGTCAGGTTTTAGAAGGCATCTGTGTGTCAGAAGTTATTAATAAAAGCAACAATAGTTCCCCTGCTGGACATGGCATGATGGCATACAGCTCTAATCTTGGCACTCAGGAGGCAGAGGCAGGAGGATCATGAGTTCGAGGCCATCTTGAGCTACATAGCAAGACCCTATCTCAAACAAACAAAACCGAATCTCCGACTTAGAATTCCCCATACTGCGTGCCTGCTAGCTTGGCAGCAGTGTGAGAAACTCCCTGAGGCTTTTGAAGTGGTCCTTGTGCCCCACGGATTCCTCACAGACAACTGCAGAAGGATAGTGTAAGGAGCCAGCATCTGAGGCCACTTGGGGTCATCGCCCTTTGTGATGCTTTCCTTGGCTACTTGTTTTCCTAGACTTGTCAGTGAGGAATTTCTTAGAATTGTTCATGCCCTCCCCACAGCAGCCCTTGACAGTGTGTTTTCTGCAGTGCTGAACTCTCCATTACTTCTGTGTGGGCCGTCTGGAGCCCCTCAGTGGCTCCCTGTCCTGGCTGACAGGCATTGCCCGAGCTCCTGTGGAGAACAGCTGCTGGAGGGAGAATGGTTTGCCCAAGCTTCTGCAGGTGCTGAGCTCTGGAAGGCACTCAGCAGTATTCACAACTCTAGTCCAACGTGAGCTTCACGCCCCATTTACCCAGCAGGAGGCTCCCCTGGCAAGCCAAGTTGGTAATTCAGGGGGTTGGAGCTGAGGGTCAACAGAGCAGTCCCAGGGTGGACAAATGGGTAGATCTTTCTCTCCCTTTGTGCTTCCCCTGCCCTCCCACCCTTTTAGTCCCTTCCTGGCCTCGTTCCCCTGCCTAACGAAAAGCAAACTGCATATTCAGAGCAAATGGTTTACTTGGATGGAGAATGTGGAGGTAGGACAGGCAGGAGAATCTACAGGGGCTGGGGTCCTGTGAAAATGCTTTTAAACAAGAGTAACTTTCAATGGAATTCTTGAAACTGTGACATTCAAATTCTGCCTGTGTAAAACCATTTAAACTAAAGCTTATCTTATCCCCTCAGAATTTTCTATCAACTGTATTTTTTTAGAATTATAAAAAGCTGTCTCCTCCCCACCCAACCCTCCCCAAATCTCTTCCACTCCCAGCTCATTGAGTTTTAGATTGAGCTTAGCTAGATTGGCTCTCTGTTCAAATTTTGGTGTCTGACTGAAAGCTGAAACTTAGCCTCCCTTCCTAAATTTGATTACAGAAGAATATCTGCTTCTAATTATAGTCTTAAGTAGAGAGAAGGTATACTTTCCAGTCTGTGAAACCCATAGGGTTCTATAGTTAACTATGTTTAAAATGTAGTGTTTACACTTTGATCATTTTTGTCACTGTCTTGCCTAAATGTTCAACAACAAACTATTGACCTTGGTAAAGCTTCATGGAATGTAAATGC